CCCCAAATGTCTTTCTTTTTGGTGTCTATATACGCCGGGATCCGGAGTCATGGATGATCCTGCGGTCCTCTGTCCTGGATCGCGAGCCCTGGATCTTGAGTCGTGGCTGTGGTCCTGGATCATAGGTCCTGGATGGATATCCTTGTGGATTCATCTTCCTATTATACACACATGCATTTCCAAACATTTGGACTACCTATGTTGCAAATGTATTATATTTTCAATTTACACACGGCATCTATTGCACGTCTGTCCGTCCTGGGAGAGGGATCCCTCCTCTGTTGCTCTCCCTGAGGTTTCTCCCATGTTTCCCTTTAAACTGTGGGTTTTCTTCGGAAGTTTTTCCTTGTACGATGTGAGGGTCTAAGGACAGAGGGTGTCGTATTGTCATACTGATATTTTGTACAAACTGTAAAGTCCACTGAGACAAATGTAATATTTGTGATATTGGGCTATATAAATAAACATTGATTGATTGATTGATGGTTGCATTAAGCTATTGTGGGCCATGCTGCTGATCAATAAGAAGGGCTGATTTATGGCAATATTGGATTTGGAGGATTCTTACATAAATTATGTTAAATACCTTTTATTTGTCAGGCATTCAATATATTAGTTTAGGTAAAGATCAGAATTGTAATTGTATCTTTATACTGTTTCTCAATTGAAGTTCCAAGTAATAAACTATATTATTACAAACAATAATGTTACATATACAGGGATAAAGAGTGTATTAGTATTTCTATACTGACATGATTTATTACTTATTGTTCGACAGATAAACAACGTTTTTATATGTACTAAGCTTACCCCATAGCTTACGGCCACCCCCCCCCTGTATTCCTTTTACTCCGACTTCATAGTATTATAATATACTACTCCTTTGGGCTTGTCTTCATTAACAAATACAAATCTGAGTTTATGGGAGCAAATAAGGTTCACTATTATTTTGAAGCTGTAAAATGTGTTTTACAAGTCATTGTAAAGCAGCTGAATGTTTTGTGTGCATGTACAAATCATTTGCTTGCATGTATCTGAATGTGAAACATTTTGAGAACAGAGATTCCAATTGCATATATGTAAAGTATTTGTAGCTGCAGAAATATTTAGTGAATTTGCATTTACATTTGTGCAGGAATCCCAATTGGGTTATACAAAGTCTGAGAGACAGACCAACAAACTGTCCCTCTGTCTGCAACAAGCTAAGAGTTTTGAGCACACATTTTATGCTGTATTTACGATTGAGCTGACTAGCCAATCCGTTTGTTGCTAACTGGACATCAAATCATAGGATTCAGACTGTCTAATGAGGAGGTTTGCTAAACACTAGCCTTCATAAACATTAGCCTAATAACTTACATTCATACTTCTATACAGCTTCCGTTTTTCATCCCATAATCCCAAGGGACACCAAGTTATCCAAACAAAGCTATGGATCAGGAGCCAAACCACCAAAGAAACAGACCAATAATGCTAAATCATTTTGTTTTTTGTTTTTGTACAATCAATCTTGTGAAACCTTGTTGTTTAAGATATTACTGCACACATTAACACACATGTTTAGTCCCATGGGGTTAAAAAAGAACAACAAATATTCATAACTCAAAATTAATCAAATTCCTTGCCTTCAAACACATAACCAAATTGTAAAATATTGGGCCTAGCCCTGAAGATTGCCCTTATTTGCTCCCATACCAGCTTGTATCTCCACAGCCCCTCATAGTAGGAGTGATCACGTGTGCATACGGATTTCCCATTATGTTGTAATCTCATGCCTTACCAGTAAGAAAAGATCAGAGCAGCAGTCCTCAACTGGAACGCTTTATGAATACAACCACTTTCCCTCTGAGTTTACTGGTCTCACTTAAAGAGCCTGTGACACGAGTTTCCCCCATCATCCAAACCCATCAATTTGAGTAAATATTGTCCCCTTGAAAACCGTTACTGAACTGATTTTGGATATTTGTACTTTGATAACCATTAATCTGCCCTTCAATGTTGACCATTTTCTGGATCTTCTCGGGGATTCTTCAAGTCCCGCCAAATTATGTGTGACGTCATTGCGGGCACAGCGCTCCAGCTGCACCGTTCAGGATCCCAGCATCTGCATATAAACGCACGATGGCGCACACAGCAGCAAGCTCAGACAGCGATGACAGTTTAATGTTGAACGTGTCTGAGAGCTCATATGAGGCTGAAGGATCGGTTTATGTTGTATCTGTTAGAAGTTTAGGAATTAGGTGCGTCAATATGGGCGATCATACGGTCATGTAGCCAGTGGTGGAATGGGACTAAAAATCATCCCGGGACTCTCGACCGGCCCACTTCGGTACCGCTAGTAAGTTGTCAACGGGGGGAGTGGGGGATGTCAGGGGCGGCAGGTGCTGTAGATAGTAAATGTAAATATGTAAATATTTGTGTCACTGCATCCTCGTAAAATACAAATATAATGCAATGTCTGTGTCTTTGACATTAGCGCTGCTAGCCACCTGTGCCCTGTACTACGAAGCCAGTTCAACAGACCCTGGATATGTTTGAGTAACAAACAAACTAACAACAACAAACTAACAAACGAGATCTCGCTAAGCGGTCCTACGACGCTGGTTATCAACTCGGTAAATCAAGCCAGGGTTTCTCTCTCCAGCTGAGAGCACGTTCACGTCTAAAACACGAGTGGATCTGACTTTAATTACATTTGACTCGAGTGTTTCGTCAACATAATGTGTTGCTTAAAATAATACTTCTGCATACAGTATGTGACACTGTGAGTGTCACATACCAGCCAGATACGGCTGGAGAAGCTGACTGAGATAAGGAAATATATGATATTATGATATTATATGATCGATGATCTGATTGATGATGTAATATGAATGATAAGTGCGACACGTCGGCGTCTTCTCTGCATACGGCAGTTTAAACTGTATTTCCTTTATCCTGTAATATGACTTGAGAGATTTAAACTCCGCACACTGAGTTGATCTCTTTTCTATAGACGCCGGAGGCGGGCAGCGTCAGGTAAAAAAAGTTATTTAGCCTTCCCAAACCTGAGCCTCACGCGCCGCCTATGGGGGATGTGCTAGTAATTTATCCGACCGGCCCACTTCGGTACCGGCCCATCGGGATTCGTCCCGATGGCCAGTCCGCCACTGCACCCAGCCCACATAAACTGTCAACGGGGGGAGCCTCGCTGCGGGGAAACGGTGGACCTAGTGTCCCGATCGGAGTGGGAATAATAATAATAATAATCCGTGCATTTTATCCATTAATTTCCCCAACATTGTGGTGAAAAAAACACACGTTTAATCCATGTTGGTGTACTACAACTACAAAAAGCATCGGTTTGTTTTCTCATCAGGAAATGCAGACCGGCACAAACAAACGATTTGTAATCATCATTCTCACGATCATTTAATCTATCATATGTTCGCCGAATTGACATGAAAGCACTAATACATGTAGTTTCATCCACTTGAGTTTACAACTACAAAAATAATCGATTTGTTTTTATATCACATCCTACGGGAGGAAATTCAGCAGCTCTCACTACCGATTTTTAATCCTAATGTAATCATCATCTTCACCACGATCATTTATGTTTATGTTCGCCGAATTGACATGAAAGCACTGACACATATGAATATACTGTAGTCAACTTCATTACAACGTTATTAACGTGCCTAAACTCAGTAATTCACCATTTCTACGCATGACAACACACTTTGTCCGTGTTTGGCTCTCTCGCCGCACAGTGAAGCGTTCCCGCATTGACGTCACTTCCGGCTTCCCCCAAAACTTCAAAATGAGTCGAAGGAATTTCCCGCGATGTTCGAAATTATTGATATTTAACGGAACGGTATCGCTTTTTCTTTTTTAAACTGACGGTTCGAGATTACTAGTAGCCCAATATTTCATTGCACAACAGTTGTTGGGATGCTGTCACAGGCTCTTTAAGTGAGCTCAGCTGTGACAAACTGATGTAACATATAGCCCATAGTGCAAATGCAACTCTGTGGTGTGAGAAAGGTCCGTGTTTACCCTCTGGGCCGAGTTATTTACAGTGTGTCGCCATGTTTTTCAAAGCAAACTAAATGAAATAGCGTTTTCTACAATCATGACCAAATGCAATATCAAGTTCCCTGCAACGTTCTCCACGGGAAACATGATAATGCTTTCAGGCAGACTGTTTACTACAGTCAAATTCAGTTATCAATATGTAATCTGATGGAGGCTATTTAAAACTGCAATATGTGCCAATGCTTTGAATTGTGTTTGTTATCATGTTCATCACAGTGGACATCCATGTGGCTTTTGATCATTTAACTAGTGTCATCATAAATGTGTAACCCAAATAAAAGTCTGCATGCAAACATGTTGTTTGCATTGCATTTGAACATACGCATGCTGCTGCAGTCTAATCAGATATTGTGCCGTTTTTGCAAGACCTTCTCATAAGCATAATAATGTGTAGAGCATTTAGTGAGATTTGGCAAGCAAACATGCAACTACAGCGTGTTTTGGTTTATTGTTTGTGCAGGTTATCTATTTATATCTATAGAGAGGTCAAGTGGGACGACTGTAAATCAAAAGAATCAATATAAAGGGGCGAGGAAGTGGCTTTAGAATTGACAGTAAATGAGATAGCATGGTTGGAAATGCTGGGAAAAAGTTAATGGGCTTTGGTTGTAATTTGTCTTTCCATTGGTGACAGCCCATATTCTGTAAAGGGATTCAGTGATGGGCCATAAATCTTAGCAGGGTCATGCATTGCACAGGAGGTGAAGAGGAGAGAGAGGAAAGGGAGCGAGGAAGAGAAACGGTCTGTGGGGTGAGTTGGGGAGAGAGAGGGAGAGGGTGAGTGGAGAAGCTAACAGACAAGCAGAGGGTGAGAGAGCAGAGTGGTGACACTAAAAGACAAATGCAGCGGGGTTGACACGGGGACAGACGGAGTGATGTAAAGTGGAAGCAACCTCTGAGATGACATGCTGCAGGTGACTCACCATGAATCGTAGGTCGTCGAAGCCATTGAGCAGGAACTTGCTCTCGTACTGCGGCAGCCCCACGTGCTCCAGCCACTCTCCGACCGGCTGGTCCAGGGCTTTACCACAGGCCCCATCTGCCGAGAGAGGGAAGCGCTTCAGCAGGGAGAAGCCGTTCAGACGGTAGCAGCGGCACTCAGAGGACGACACATGGCATTGCCACATCATCCTCGGCCAGCAGAGGCAGAGCCGAGTGCAGCAGCACCAGGCGGGGTGGGGGGGAGACAGGGTCCAGGCCGGGGGTGAGGGGCTCCCGAGGTAAGGGTGGGGGCCCAGCTAACTCAAACACAGGAGGAGGGTAGGAAGTGCTGCAGGCCTAGCTCGAGCCCTGCAGGGGACTGACTAGGCTAATATACACCCACTGGTGTTAGTGTGACTGACTGGAAATGTCAGGCGAGGGTGGAGGTAGTGCAGGGAAGGAAGCCCATCTGAAGCTTGGTGGTGTTAGTTATGTTGGACTGAGCCACTACGGCATCTTCCAACAAACAGGGTTCACTAAACATTCCTTTAGTGAGCAGATGAGCGAGTTTAAGAACAAATGCCTAGCTAGTCCGACAACAAAACAATTCTGAACACTTCAAGTCAAGAAGCTAAATCATTTTCAGCCTGAAGGGAAATGGAAACATCTGTCACTAAATCAAACATTTTCATACATCACACATTATTTACTCGGCTAAAACTATCCCCATTAATATGTTTGTCTAACATCAGAAACTACTGCATCAGGGTGTAACACAGAAATATTCAGTTCCCCCAAAATAAATTTGTCACGGTTTTCACCACATACTTGTAACGCTCTGGCTGAGTCCCATGGCTTCATTGGTCAATCTCTTTGAGAGCAAGGACACGGCTCATACAAGGAAGGTAGCAGCATTCTAAAGTACTGTTGAGGTACTGGTGTTATTTTTGATCAAGGAATACACATTGGCTTAAATCATTTTGTTTTCCTCTTTACTCCAGAGCCACAAGAAGTACGATCAGGTAGAAATATTTTAAATCCTACATTAAAAAAAAAAATTGGTTGGCTTAGGATTTCCAGAGTGTGCTGATTTCAAACTCCTCAAAGCTGTCTGGAAAAAGGCTTGGTGTCCTTGGTGGTGCCAGTGCTTCCCAGCATCCACACTCTTCAGCAGACTGCTGGCTGTGCGGCTCTGCCAGTGAGCGTGCTTCTCATCTCTCAGAGCAGTAAATCCAGGTTCAGATCCAGCAGACGGCAGGTGAGCGTCTTGACTCTGAAGCAGGGGGGATCACTACAGGTGCAGGTTAAGCTAGTTCCTTTTCTTAAGGCAGACGCCCCCTTTTCCCACCCCAGCCCACCTGGTTCTTCTCCTCGCTGGGTACGGCTAGCAGCCTCTGTGCTCAGGGCAGAGGTTTGCTGCATCCCCTGCCTGTCTGAGACATGCAGGCAGCGCAGATGCAGTCACAGCAGCTGCTCCCGGCTCACACACGCTCCCCTCACTGCTCACAGGGCATAACGTCCTGACGCCGGCTACTTCTACACAGGAGACCGCAGATCTGCCTCAACCTCAGCCCCTGCTGCCACGTCCTTTCCCACGTCCACGACAGGCAAGAGACTCAGATCATCTCCCCTTCTCATCCGAGCAAATCCCTCAAGCTCTTCTTTTTAACTCCCCCCCCTCCTCACTCTCATGTCTCTCTTTCTTCCTTTTGCTCTCGATCTCATAGCCCCATTCCCACACTGTGTGATCGCACTGCAGGGCTGCCGTATGCTGCCTGATTAAGTGGGGTGCCGCTCCACGTAACCACCTCTCTCTCCCTCACTCTCCCACTATATTAATTCCCCTCCCTCTGCCTCTCCCTCTCTCCCCCTCTCTGGCTTGCACTCTCCCTCACTCTGTCTCGCTCCCTGCCTCTTGTCCTCAAACACACAGACAGAAGCAAACACACACACTCTCTTTCTCTCTCTTTATTGTCTCACTACCCCTTTTCCCCTTTTATCTAGCTGTCCTTTTTTTGTCATACAAATGCACACACACTGTCTGTCTCTCTCTAACCTTACCCCACCTCTCTCCCCCCCCTCCACTGATTAGAATTGCAGAAGCACTCTGATCTTGCCAGTGCAGTGAGGATACCACCATCAGAGGATAGGAGCTCACCCCAAAAAAAGAGAGACCAAAGAAATCTCAGTCCTTCTCTGCCAAGAATGATGAGAATGTAAAGGGATGACGAAGAAGCAATCCTCTTCTTCAGGAGCAACGCCAAATTACTTAAGGCTCACATGAGATATTGAAACAAAGAGCCTCATCAAGCCTCTGCTCATAAGCAGACAACTTGAATTCATTTACATCTATACTTTGATGATAGGACAAGGGAGGGCAGCGTTGATTTAAGTTAGCAGAAGTGTCTTTTGCACTGAGAAAAGAAGAAGGGAGGAAACAAAGACACTATTCAAGTCCTATCTCATCTAATCTCACACGAACATACAGCATGAAAGCTTTCCAGATGCTCAATCTCAGATCAAGCATTTAAGTATAACAGATGACACTTACTGGAAAAAAGCCTTGATAAAAAAGTGTGATAAAATATAATTCAAATCGATTTTGGGGTAAAAAAGAGTCACACAGTGTTTATTGGTCGACTTTAGCCAGACCTGTGCTGGGCTGCTCACTGCGTCCACCACTGGTGTGATGTGGATACGGCTGCAAACAGAGTCTAGCTATGCAGGCTTTCAAGCTGGTTGCAATCACCTCACACATCCCCAGATGGTAGTCAGACAGTGAGTAAAGCAGTCAGGGCAAGGAGGAGCGGTGCCAACAGAGGGAAGCAAAGTGAAGGGCTATTGATTGAACTTCCTCCGTAATTGGCAGCCCGTACCCCTGTTGCTCAGGCGATCAGGTAAAAGGCCAGGGTCTCCGTGATCCGTCAGTCATCCAGAACGAACAGTGCTCATCATCCGTTATCAGGATGAGAAGCTGCTGTCAGACTGAGGAGGAAGATGAGTGAGGAAGGCAGAGGGAGAGAATGAGACAGATAAGAGACAGAGAAAGACTAATAAAGGAGGAGGCGATAACACATATGGGGAAGATAAGATGCCAATAGGACGTAAGAAGGATTGAAGTGGACTAATTAGGATTCACTACGAGATCCCACAACTCCTCCTCCTCCTCCTTTACTCTTTCCTCCTGAGCCTCTAACCAAAGTCTGCTCTTACACCACGATATCCAGACAAAGACTTTTAAAAATACCTGCCACTCCATCCAATTACATCCATTCATTTGGGACAGCAACACCTCCCACGGTAGTAGGACCTAATTACTGACTGACAGAGTATCCAACGCTCCTCCTCTGGGGGGATCTGGGTCACAGTCTTATCCCCTTTCAAACAGGCCGAGCTGTCACATCTATCCAAGTGGGTTTTCTGTACTGTTTGAACACTGTTCGGTCTTGAGTAAAAACAAAAACGATTTACAGAGGAAGAAAAGGTAGAGGTTGTGCCTATAAGGCCGTGGCTCTTTATCAGAGAAGGAGAAAAGCACTAGCTCCTTGTCAACACACCCGAGCAGTGGAGAAAATGAGCTGCAAAGCTGAATTAATTCAGGGAAACTGAAGGCGGACTCTTTTGCTTTGAACGTCAGACTGTGCCTGTACACAAACCCGAGCCGATGCCTCCTGTGTGCTGTTGGCCGAGCTCTCTCTCCTCTCCCTCTCTCTTTTTAAGCTCATTTACTCGTCGCTCTCAGCACACAATCGAGGCGCTTGTGATGGGCACACAACACAAACAACCTCATCTTTGAGCGAGCAGCAGAATGACGCAAAAATGGCAGGGCTGGCTTAAATCAGCTGACAGAAATACCCCCAAATGTTCAGAAATCTGCTTTCGGGAAATGAATCGGCGGCCCTCGGCAACTGACAGGAGAATGACAGCATACAAGGAGAACGATGGATGGAATAGAAATACACAAAACAGGAATAGATAAGATTTCCAAGTTGTGTCACGTTGAAAAGATAAGAGCTATAATGAAAAGTGACAATTTAGGTTACCATCTTCCCTCTCATCTCCTTCTCTCTGCCCCCCTCCCATCCTCTATCCCTCTCCCTCCTCCCCTGGTAATGACTCTGAAGGGTACCTGTTTGTTCCCTTTCATTAAGCTACACTGTGGAAAATAAATATGACCTCTTTACTAAGCGACACATACAAAAACAGCAACAAAAGCATCTTCGCAACCTCCCAGAACTCCTTGCACAATCTCAGATTAAAATCGGAGCAGCAACTGTATGACTCAGCTGAATGTGGGACATTTTCTGCATGCTGTTCTCCCAACAGGGACTATAAATAGCACACACCTATATGTGTAGAGGGGAAAAACAAACAACATATTTGCTCTTATGTAATGTAGAATAACCTCAGGTCTTAATTGTTAACATGGCAATTAGTGTAAGAATGCTTAAAGTCAAGTTACAATGAAAATCATAAATTACCTCTGCAATGGAAAACAGCTGTGCTCTGGGGTTGCTCTGCTGTTATGCATTTCCTTTTGCAAAAAAGTATATTGCTATATTGTGCGATGGTTAAAAAAAGCGTAAAATAAACTGATTTACACATAAGAGAATGTTAAGATGAAGAATTAAGGTTTTTTTTTAATTATAATTGGTGTTGTTACTTTTATATCTTTTTTAAATAAAGCATAATTAGTTTGTCTGTTTTGCACATCCTCCTATTAATATTTGTGGACGTCCTGCACTAAACTGTTTTATTGTAGAGATCACTACAGTATGTTCTTGATATTTTCTATTCTATATTTCTATCATTGACCTTCTACTTTCCCCCAATTTTGTATGTAGGCTACTCTTAATATTTAAAAAATGTCATCAAATATAACATATTCAACAAAAAAATTAAATAACGTGCTTTAACCACTAGGCGGTGCGGGTTAAAAAACTGTCAAGTTTACAGTGTTTACACAATAAATTATACTTTCCAGTATAATTTCCAGTTTAGTTTATGACAGATGAATTTTGTTATCCACACATATATTGCTTTGATATTTGTAACACCAAACCGACAGAAAAGATGGTCTTAACATGACCCAGTGGTCTAGTTAATAAAACATAATAATATCAAACATAATATTACTATTAACTTTATTGTGAAATCAAAACAGAACGGTAAAGAGAAATACAGTTCCAGTCTCTCGATTTGAAGCTTATGCATTGTACCATGAACCTGTATAGACCTGTAACAGTCAACTGCATGAGGAGTTGGAAAGGTAGTTTCTGAAGATGTTAGAAATAACACACAGCATGCAATGCCATAATAACTTTTTTAGTGTATGACACTTATGTATGTATAACATCTGAAGATGTGTAGTTTTATTCATGTTTTCACATAATGTTACAGGATATTGCTATATTATGTCACATATTGTAGTTCTACACATTAATATCTGATTTGTAAAACATCACAGACAGAAAGGTATATCCGTAATTTAATGGTAAGCTATTGAAATTGTGATTCCATAGATGTGTCTCCCATCACCCAAATCCCCTGACTATTCTCTCAACTCAGTATTTACATTCTTATATTCAAAGAAAATCAGTAATATCTAATATCTAAAGTCCCTGTCTATCAGCTGTGCACCGCTACCTATCTACCAATTGGATCAAATTACTATTGATACTGCAAGGAGACGTATTGTGTGAAGAGAAATTGAAGATGTTGTTTAATTGCTGATATATTTATGATCCACGTCACGTATTCAGTTTCCGTGGCAGTTGTTCCTGTTTGTCCAGAAGTGTTCTCATCAGGGCTCTATAAATAAAGAACTACGGCAGATATGTAATATTTAATGCAGCCGAACTGTGTATTACAATGCCGTTATGTGATGACTTCCAAAGAGAAAAGCAAGCACACTCAGAATAAAGTATTATTATTATTATTTTTATATTTTCGGATTTCACATCGCATAAACACCAACCACCAATTATGGGTAGTTCAATGTTTTAGCCTATCAAAACCTCTGAAAAAAGAAATGTGTCTCTCAGAAAAAAAAACTATGGGAAAAACACAAAAGCATTGTACACAATTTAAACCAATGAATGTTGTGTAATTAACAAGGATAAACTGATGTTTTTTAGTGGATGAGTATGGCAGATATCACTGTTAAAACATTTGACAGTGAGGGGAATACGGTTTTATTATGAAAACTTCGAGACCAGAAATACTGTTTTCACCCACGCTAACTTTACATGGAAGCTGCCGTCAATAGAAATGAATAGGGGGAAAGACGTAGTATATACACGTTCTCCTGGCGAGACCTCAAATCATCTTCGTAATATCTATCAAACTATCCTACACATGGATTCTAAAAGTACAATATACACTTCTCACTAGAAATCTAAACAAAAAGCATGTTAATGGCCAAACTATCCTACAATTTAGGATTTTCCAGAGAGGGTTATTTGTGAATATACGACCCTCCGGAGCGTTTGCAGTCAACAGGAGCATTAGAGGTTGAAAACTTTCAAACGTGATTATAGGTCGTAATAAGCGCTTGAACAATCGACCTATTTGGTCGTATGAGTTGGAGGACTTGTTACAATAGCTATATAGCTTTGGGGTGTCTATAAGTAACATTTAACTAAATATTTGATTAAATTACTTTATGTCCTTAACATTTTTGAATACTCATCATTTAATTAATTGGTTGCATTTGTCAAACTAGTACTTACCTTTTAATTTATAGTAATGTATGCCAATTTAACTGGACTGACACTTTAAGCCTTCAAAATGGGCTGAAGGGGAGAGTGATATAAGATAAGTAATTTAA